CCCCCATTAAGTTTTAGTCAACTCGAATTATTTGGCATTGAGGGTTTGGAGTTTGAAATTTTAATGAATCGAGTGTCTCCTATTCGACCATCACTGCTAGGTTTGGGTTCTTCGCATTTGCGCGTGACGCTTCAAAAGAGACTTTTGTCATCTGCTAGCCCCAAAAATGTCGTCAATGGCATGCAACACGACCAGGGCGCCACACCCAATGGTAAGCCCTGTTAGTTTATCGCTCAGATCCCGCCGCCTCCAAGAGTCGCCTGCAAATGGCAATTGAGTTTATCCCAGGCGCCGATAATACAAAAAAGCTTGCTTTTGTTTCCCTAAGCTCTGCACTTACTGCTGCTCTTGTCTCTTCCGACATATACATCGTAAATAGCGAATCTCCGCTTCTTCTTACATTTTTAATTGTCATGCGTTTCTTATATCTCAAGGCCGGGCCGGTTATTGGAGAATACATTGAAAATGAAGAGAATAGAACGGTTAAAGAAATTCAAGAGGCGTTTGTCCGCAGAAGAAACGCCCTTTTGTCGAGACTGAATCACCTGAATGCCTTTAAAGAGGTTCGAGGCTTGTTTGAAGAATATTTGAGAATCAAAAAGGTTTGCTTTGTTGCTGCCCATACTTGGTTAGGAAAATGTGCATCTTCATGTGGAGCTAGAATCTTTGATGCAAGAGACCAAACATCTTCAAGAGGTGAAGTTTAAACTCGATGATATGGTGCGAAAAATCTCCGAGCAAAAGGCTATCCACCGAAGGGGCCTGATAGATTCTACTCGCAATTCTATTTTTGAGAAGCTAAAGTCGATGGAAAAGGTTCGCGTCAAAGCAGTTTTATTTTTTAGCAAAATTTTATTCTTGCCGAATGTCTTGGGAAGCTGGACAAAATGCCAGCATCATCTAGGGTATGCGAGAATCTTGAATAATAAATCGCGCGTAAGGCATTAAACCAATATGTGGATGACGTTAATGCCGGAGGGTTCCATGTCGTTGAAAGCGTCCAATGAATCATGTGTCTTATGCAGCAACCATTCATTTTCAAGGTCACTGAACAAAGATGAGGAAAGTGACAAAGGAAATCCTCGCCTAAAAATTAATTAACAATGCCTTCAAACTTGAATCCAAGGTCCGGCTCGCCATAGGCATCTACATAGGCAGATTCTCTTATGTATGCAGACGCATCAGACAGATACACAGTGCCCGCTTTTTGTACCAACATAAAAAGACCAATTGATCCGCAGCAATATCTAAAAATGAGGCTAAATGGAAAGATGGGGTACCCCATCATGTGAAAGTTACACTCGCCCATCTGTCTAAAGATGAAACAGCATGTGGATTTAAAGCAGCACAACTTTCCACAAATGAAACAAATTGCCGTTTCAGAGGGCACCGTGTTGCACTTGGTACATGTGCGCCTGGTCGATTGAATGATAAGCTGGTCAAACTTTGGCGGAAAAGGAACAAAGGAGTATCGGAAGGGATAAGGAAGAGGCGGAATGGCCAGACTAGCATCAGAGGAGATCGGTAAGAAATACTCTTTCATGTCAATAATAACCTGCACAGTGTCAAAGTTGAGCATACAGTCGTTACGATTGCCATCAAGAGAAAGAAGAAAAGAATCAATCGAAATCCAAAGCAAATCTATTTTGTAGACACTTGTGTAAAGAAATGAGAACTCCTCCAAAGTGGAACCAAAGTTATCGATCTCCTGCTTGGTCCCGAAAAACATCGACTCGAGCACCAAAGCCGATCTTAAATAAACGAGAAAAAAATAATATTTCAGCGAGCTTGAAAAGGTGGTCAGGGAAATCACGGACGAGTGTTGAACAAAATAGTATTTTACGAATAGAAAAGCCACCAAATGCCTGAACTTTTTTAAATCTTCCAACGAATCAGGAGAATAGTAAAGAATAGAATAAGCAAGCAGATCCTTGAGAAAAGAGCTATGCTCGTCAAAAGATGTGAAGATATTTAGGACTTGCGACATCGATTCCTTAAGAGACTCATATTCAGAAGAACCGCAATTTGACCGCAGCAGAGTTGAGGCTGTAATGAAGACCTTGTAAATTTCGATTACTGAAAAGAAATAAGGAGAGAATTCTAGCATTAAATTGGAAGGCGTTTCAAGTTGTGCGGACCATTGCGAAAAATCAAGCTGGTGTGTTCTCAAATATATTTCCACCGTTGCAATAATATCACAGAGTACATTACAAGTCTGCTCTATAAATAACAATTTGGACCTTCCCTCTCTGACATCAGTGACCAAATACCTGGCCATGTATTGTTGCATAATTGAAAGGCCTTCGTTATCGAGAATACGGGGCAGCGAGTCGGGATCCGAGTGGTGCAAATAATATTTTCCATAATAATGGTTCCAACGATCACAAATACTTTGAGCAGTTGCCATGAAGAAAGGAAACTGCACTTGGTCAAGACTATCAGCAGAAAGGAAAATGCTATCTTTCAAAAAAGAGGGGCCCGCCCTCACATCTGAAGATGGGCCCGGTTGACGCTGCTTAAGCGGAGCCGGGATAATGGAGGATCGGTCAAAATAAGGAAGAAAAATATGCCCTTTTTTTCTGCACAAAGGACAACGAAATTGTTTTCCACCACTAAGAGTCTTCATGCATGAATAGTGGAACAAATGTTTGCACGAAGAAAACAGCGATGAAAAGTTGCTGTAGGCCCAAGAATCATATTTCTTTTCTGACGACTGGAATAATAGATCAAAAGATTGGTCATTTGGAAATCCTCGGGTGTGTTTCTCCGAATATTCGCGTAAAAACCGTTTCTTAAATAGCCGTGCAATGATTCCAATTATTTTTGAAGTGTCCGCGAGGCAAAGTGGCTCACGGCAAATATTACAGTTTCCCAAGTCTTGACACAACTCCTGTTGCTCAACATTGGCTGCTTTCTTTAAATCGAAAGAATAAACCTGCCTGTGCTTGTTTAAAGACTGGAATTTGTGTCTAGCAGATTCAAATTGCTGTAAAAACTTAAAGGGATCAATATACTTGTCCACGTCATTGTTTGATGATGGCGAGAAAGTTTCATAAACATCGTCTGGCTGTTCCACCATTTCTATGCCGTCAGTATCTGCATCCCACAAGTCAATGTCATCTAGGGCATTTTCCTCCTCAGTATCTTCTTCATTGGCAAAATACGAGTCAGAAGAAGATGCATCTTCAAAATCGTATGCATTGTCATTTGACGCATACTCGATAGGAGCCTCCTCTTCCCTATTTGAAACCTCGCATTTTTGGATAAACGAGTTTTGGGCGCTTTGCATTCTTTCAAGAAGCATGCGCCTTCGCTCCGCAGCCTGCTCTTTCTTTTGATCGATAGGGGTTGCTGATACATCAACGTCAACGTCGCTTTTTCCTTGAAGGTCATCAATTTCGGACAGCACAAATTTAAGAGTAGGTTGAATGCAAGAATATGGAGCCATCGATGACAACGATTTAAGCGCATCATAGATGGACGTGTAGTGGCCGTCTTCACAAGCCTCAACAGTCGGCGAATTGTTGATCAAAAAAGAAGCAAACTCGTGGCATAAGGAGGCATTCTGCTGCCTTTGGACAAATTGAAAGCCACAGTGTATGATGTAAAGAATCTGCAGCACAATAAAAACGCTATTGTTTTCCTCTTTGAGACTCAAAAGACAATTCAAAAGAAATGCAAAAAAGGACGCAGACCTGATCAGACATTCAAGCGAATTGCTATTAAAGGTCAGGTCTTTTGGAAACAGCGAGGATTTTGTTCTGTCCTGTGCCAAAATGTCAAAGCAGGATTGTCGCTCAGTGTAGGAAAAGTAAGTGTAAAAAATATCGATTTCCGACGCAATTTCTGGCTTCAGATGGAATATCATTTTGTCGCCCACAGAGCTTCTCTTGTTTCGTTGGACCGAAACAGAAAATAGTATGTCCTTGACATCGGCGTGTTCCGAAAACTTTCCAGGCAACCTTTTAAGAAGCTCAGAATTTGAGGACGGGGCCAAAAACAGGAAATGAATCAACGACCTACGGACCATGGTAGCAATGTCAAGCTGCTCTGCAATGTCTGAACTGAGTAAATTAACAAACAAAGACAATAGCTGGTCCAGTTGCCCGAATCGTGCCTGAATCAATGCATCTGCTCTAATCGAGCTATTCAGAGAGTCTCCACCAAGCAAATATGCCTCCAAATTAAAACAGCTGATTATAAGGTCAATGGCGTTGGGGCACGTTTGAATAAACTCTTGAATCAAGTACAAATCGAGGTCTCTCATCTCATCAATCAAATTTACGCCAAGATAATTGTAAACTTGGTTCCTCAGAGCATACCCGTTTCTGATCCATAAATTGGATCGAATTTGGCCCAAATAAGCCTGAAGTTATAATCAGCTGTT